GAGAGACACATTGGCCACCACCCACATGACCCCAACAGGGGCGGGGGACAAACTGCAACCGAGGTACATGCCCTTAGCGAGAACTGAGCCCTGGTCTCTCTGGTCTGCAGGCCGACACTCTAACCGCTGAGCCAAACTGGCCAGGGCAGATTTCTTAAACTGGAATAGTACACACAGCTTTTCTATTTATTCTTCGTAGTAAAACAAATTTTTTTTTACCTCAGGTAGGGAGGAAAGTGGGTGATACTGATTTAAAATAGTGTGTTTTTCTTTTAAATAAGAATTAGACTTAAAAGTTGCATCTTAAATAGCTTTCCTCTTCCCTTGTTGCTCTAAATTTTAGATGTTTTCTTATGGGAAAAAGTGCAGTTATAATCACATTTTCTTGTGTACTCCAATGGAACTTAAATGGGAGCAACTTATAGATTGGACAGGAACTGAATTCCTCTCATTTTTGATCGACTGCTTATTTTGTCAAATTTTGTTTGGTTCCTTTATGGCTCTCGGTCTGTTTTCAAGTTATCTTTTAGGAATAAAACACACAGTTTTAAAATTTATTTTGCTCTGACAAGTTTAATCTTCTAAGAAGAACATATGCAGGTAAATTTGGAAAGATAAAACCTAGTTGATTAGATGTGCTTTTTAACTAAGTGTTTTCCTAGGCTCCTCTGGTCCCAATTTTCTTGGTAACCGGGGATCTTGGAGTTCTGTTGCATACCCTTCAGTCTTTGAATTCTGGATTCAACTTACCAGGGAATTCCCAGTAATACCACTTATCAGAGAGTTCAGATGGTCTTCCCATTCCTTTGTGGATCTGTTAGGAACAAGAAGCCAGTCAAGCTAAGGGGCTGTAGAGCTAGGAGATCGTCACTTTATTGGTATTGAAGATCATTCTTTCTTTCTCCAAACATCTATAGAATTAGACTTACACATCATTAATATTAAATACTTCCAAAAAGAGCCCTGACTGGTCTGGCTCAGCGGTAGAACATTGGCCTGCAGACCAATGAGTTGTGGGTTCGATTCTGGTCAAGGGCACGTACCTTAGTTGCGGTTCATCCCCGGCCCTGGTCGGGATCTTGTGGGAAGCAACCAGTCAATGTGTCTCTCAGGTCAATGTTTCTCTCTCTCTCCCTCCTCCCACTCTATCTTAAGATAAATAGAAAAATATCCTTGGATGAGGATTAGAGAAAAAAAAAAAAAGAACTGGTAAACTTGCAGACATTAGATGTGTGTAAAATACATGTTGTTTTGGTAATTATTAAATATACAGTATCATTTCAGAGTTTACTAGGTAGATGGGGTAGATTCTGATTCTGTACCTACTTTCAAATATATTTTTAGTATGAAATATCTTGAATACCGACTAACACTAATGTATAGAGAATAGCAACAATGAAAACTTAAGTAGCTACAACCCAGCTTAATCAAAATCAGTATTGTTTGTTTTTATTAAGAAATAAAACGTGACAGACACATAGGAAACGCCTTGGTTCCCTACTCCATCCCATTCATCTTCTTTTCCAGAAGTAATCATTATCGTGGCTTCATTTAAATTAATAGCACTGTGTTCCCCTCATTTGCAGAGGATTTTTGGCATGCCTGATTGCTTGACTAGCTAATTTATCAGCCATTCCATGGTTACTTTTTCATAAAATTTATTTCTACTGGACTGAGGTTCATTTGGATCATGCAAAGACGTGGCCTGTTTGCTTCCCACGGATTGTATACTATGCATTAGTACTAAATTATATATTACCATACAAAGTCAGACTTTTACTCTTTATTTGGAGTGTTAAATAAAAGATTTAATATATGCTACTGAAGAAGCATGATTGAAATTTAAGTTGAAATTAGTGAAAATTATTTCAGTTTGGCTTCAGTTACAGAATGGTTGTAGCAAGGAACCATCTTAAAAACTGTCAGAGTCCTGGCAGGGTGGCTCAGTTGGTTGAAGCGTCATCCTGTACACCAAAAAAAAAAGTTGTGGGTTCGATTCCTGGTAAGTACATACCTAGGTTGTGGGTTTTATCGCAGGTCAGGGCAACCACTTGATGTTTCTCTCTCACATTGATGTTTTACTCTCCCCCCCCAAGTCAATAAACATATCTTTGAGTGAGGATGAAAAAAAAAACAATAAAACTAAACTGATTTTTTTGGTCTTAATTTTTTATTTTAACTTTGGTGTTATGTAGTTGGTTCTTTTTTTTAAACTCCTCACCTGAGGATAATTTTTTGTTGATTTTTTTTGTAATAGAATGGAAGGGAGAGAGGGTGGGAGAAAGAAAGAGACAGAAACATCATCGTGAGAGATACACATCAGTTGGTTGCCTCCCACAAGACTCCAACCGGGGCTGGGGATTAAACCCGAAACTGAGGTATGTTCCTTGACCAGGAATCAAACCTGAGAACCTCCAGTGTTTGGGCCGATGCTCTAACCACTGCTCCATGCTGGGTAGGGCTGTAGTTATTTTTTGTTGTTGTTGTTGTTGTTAATCTTCACCTGCGGATATTTTTCCATTGATTTTTATTTTATTTATTTATTTATTTTCTATCCTCATCATAGGACATTTTTTGCATTTATCTTCTGATAGAGTGGGAGGGAGAGAGGGAGGAAGAGAGAGAAAGAGAAACATCAATGTGAGAGAGACACATCAAGTGGTTGCCACCTGCACAACCCCATCTGGGGCCAGGGACAAACCGCAGCTGAGGTACATGCCCTTAGTGGGAACCGAACCCAGAACTCTCTGGACCACGGACCCATGTTCTAACCGCTGAGCGAAACTGGCCAGGGCTTTTCATTGATTTTTAGATAGAGTGGAAGGGAAGAAGGGGAAGGGGGGGGGGAGACATCGATGTGAGAGAGACACATCGATTGATTGCCTCCTGCCTGACCCTGACCAGGGCTGAGAATCGAACCTGCAACCCAGGTACATCCCCTTGGTTGGGAATTGAACCTGTGACCCTTCGGTCTAAGGGCTAATGCGCTGAGCTAAACCAGCCAGGGCTGTAGTTGGTTTTTTGAGCAGCCCTAATATGTGAGTTGTCTTCTAGTAATTCCATAAGAATGTAGTAACATCTTAAGAATAGTTTCCCGTCTCCATGTTTTAGAAAGGAACAAGAAAGCCAAAGTCCAGCCCTGGCCGGTTTGGCTCAGCGGTTAGAGCATCGGCCTGCGGTCCGGAGAGACCCGGGTTCGGTTCCCACTAAGGGCATGTACCTCGGTTGCAGTTTGACCCCGGCCCTGGTTGGTTGTGCGGGTGGCGACCACTCGATGTGTCCCTTTCACGTCGACGTTTCTCTCTCTCTCTGTTCCTCTCTCTCCCTCCCAAAGAATGGAAAAATGTCCTCGGGTGAGGATGATAAAAAAAAAAAAAAAAGAAAGCCAAAGTCCAAATTAAATTAAACCTCAGTAAAATTTGAAAATTTATATAATGATTGGGTAATAAGCAATGTTTAAAATTTTCATAGACTTTTAAATTTGTTACAAAAGTAATACATTTTTACAAAATCAATTGTTAAATCATTTAAAAACCACTAAATTCCATTACCCAGAATGAACTCATTAACATTATTCTTTATATTTTTCAAAACTCCTTTCTACATATAGGTATAAATACACATTTTTATTTTACAAGAATTGGATTATACATTCTTACAGTTTACATTAGGTTACATAGTCTGCTTTTTTTCCTTAATAGTTTATGATTTGCTTCTTTGTCAACAAATGTAAATATATAATTTCAGTAGTTGCATATTATTCCATTATTAGTAGCAGCCAGCTTGCACTGAGGGATTAACCAAATGTTAAAACTTTTTATTTATTTATTTATTTTTATTTTTAAATTTTTTCATTGTTTCTATTTTATTTATTTATTTTTTTTATCCTCACCCGAGGACATTTTTCCATTTTTTGTTCAGATAGAGTGGGAGGGAGAGAGAGAGAGAGAGAGAGAGAAACATCGATGTGAAAGGGACACATCAAGTGATCGCCACCCGCACAACCCAACCAGGGCCGGGTACAAACTGCAACCGAGGTACATGCCCTTAGCGGGAACTGAACCCGGGTCTCTTTGGACCACAGGCCCACGCTCTAACCGCTGAGCCAAACAGGCCAGGGCAAAACTTTTTATTTTTTATTTTATTTCATCTTCACTGCTATTCTGTCAGGTAATTTACATGTGAGACACAGATAGGTTAAGTTACTTATCCAAGGTCACACAGCTGCAAATAGCAGAACATAGATGTGTTTCTAATCATATGTGGTACTTTGCTAAACCATCTTTTTTTTTTACATATTCTATTTTGAACAACTAGATTGTTTTTGACCTACTGCTATTATATATGACATTGTAATGAATATCCCTATAACTATTCACTACTTCATTTTTCCAGTAGTTGCTAGAAGAATTGCTGAGTTAAAGATTATGCCTGATTTGTTTAAAAAATATTTTCATTGCCCTGGCCGGTTTGGCTCAGCGGTTAGAGTGTGGGCCTGCGGTCCAGAGAGACCCTAGTTCGGTTTCCACTAAGGGCGCGTACCTCGGTTGCAGTTTGTCCCTGGCCCTGTTGGTCGTGCAGGTGGCAGCCACTTGATGTGTCCCTTTCACGTCAATGTTCCTCTCTCTGTCTCTTCCTCTCTCTCCCTCCCACTCTATCTGAACAAAAAATGGAAAAATGTCCTCGGGTGAGGATAAAAATATATATATATATATATATTTTAAATTAATTTTTAGAGAGAGAGGAAGGGAGAAGGAGAGAGAAACATTGATGTTAGAATAAAACACCGATCTCAGCTGTCTCCTGCACACCCCCCACCGGTGATCCATCCTGAAACCTGGGCATGTGCCCTGACTGGGAATTGAACCAGCAACCCTCTGGTGCACAGGACGATGCCCAGCCAATTGAGCCACACCGGCCAGGGCAGTTATACCTGATTTTGATTAATATTACCAAATTGTTCTTTCAGAATATATAATTTTGCACCCCCACCAGAGCGTCCATTTTTCCATACTTTTTTTGCCAGTAGTGGACACTATTAAACAAAAACCTACCTGGAGTTATAGACATTTTAAACTGCTGTCGTTTGCATGCGGAGCGGGTCCTTTTTTCCTCCCCCCCAAGGTGGGTATGTGTCTGTGTGTACGTGCTACTGTCCTTGTCGTTATGGGTGAGAGTTAAACTGAGAGGTTAGAGTAAGAGCCTTAGATATACTAGCTAGTGACAGAGCTAGTGAGGGGCGGTATTGGGATTTGAAAGCAGATCTTTCTGATACCAGAATTCCACCTGTTCTCTGACCATGCTGTCTTTCCAAATGGAGCCGGCAGGTGACCTCTTAAGGTAAGCTGAGCCCTTGGAGGTTTAGCAGCAGTTCTCAAAGTGACGTACAAGACCTTTGAGAGCCCCCAAGCCTTTTACAGGGGTCTGCTAGGCCGTGCGTTTCACTCTAGTGCCGAGTGTTAACTTGGCTTCCCCATCGTGTCGCAGTTCACTCTGATGGGACAGAAGCAGCGGTGCACAGAGCTGCTGCCGGGTCGGGAGGTCGTGTTTCCAGACTGTGCTGCGCCTGCTCTTCCCCGTGTGTGCACGCAGAGGAGAGACATTCAATTTCACTTGGAATATCTTTGATCAAACAGTAAAAATCATTCACTTTATTAAGTCTCGATCCTCGAATACACATCTTTTTAATGTTGTGTAATGAAATGGGAAGTATGCAAAGAATACCACTTTTACTTGAAAGAATAACTTATAAAACTGTGGTTATTAAATCTTGAGTATTTAGCAGATATTTTGAAGTCTATCACTTCGAAAGCAACTGATAGTATTGGTTGCCAATGATAAAATACAAGCTGTCAAGCAAAAAAAAAAAAAAGAATTTTGGAAAAATCATATTGTGACAGCATTCCAATACTCAAAGACGTTACTGCCGAGATTAGTAATACTACTAATAAATGTGATTACTGTATAATGAAACGTATTATCATTTGGAAGATCTCACATAACTCAAGGCTCTGATCTTTTCCAAACAACCAATTCATGTCATGGATAAAAGATCCATTCAAAGTTCAGTACAGACCAATGGATTTTAATGTAAGAGTTTGAATAATTTATTGATATGGTTTCAGATTCCACATCATAACTGATCTTTAAGAAACTACCACTTGTTAAAACAACAATGAGGTATCACCTCACACCTGTCAGAATGGCTGCCATCAACAAATCATCAAACAACAAGTGTTGACAAGGGTGTGGAGAAAAGGGGACTCTAATACACTGCTGGTGGGAATGCAGACTGGTGCAGCTGCTATGGAAAACAATATGGTGCTACCTCAAAAAATTAAAAATTGAACTTCCATTTGACCCAGTGATCCCACTGCTGGGAATATACCCTAAGAAGCCTGAAACACCAATCAGGAAGAATACATGTACCCCCATGTTCATAGCAGCACTATTTATAATAGCTAAGATCTGGAAACAGCCCAAGTGTCCATCAGTAGACGAATGGATAAAAAAGCTGTGGTACATATACACAATGGAGTACTATGCAGCGGTAAGAAAGAAAGATCTCTTATCCTTTGAGACGACATGGAGGGACCTGGAAAGCATTATCCTAAGTGAAAGAAGCCAAGCAGAAAAAGACAAATACCACATGATCTCACTTATATACGGAATATAATGAACATAACAGTCTGAGGAATACAGTAGACCCAGACACATGGAAGTAGGGCACAGACTGACATCCCTCAGAAGAGGGGATGTGGGGTGGGGGGGTGAGAAGAGATAAACCACAGAACTTATATGCATGTATGCATGACCAATGGACATGGACAACTAAGCCGGGGACAGGGTGGAGGGGGGGTAGGGTGGGGGGTGCCAATGGGGTAAAAAGGTAAAATATCTGTAACAAAAAAATAAATAAAAATTCATATAAAAAAAAAAAAAAAAAAAGAAACTACCACTTGTTGAGTTTGTGTATAGTATCTAAGAATAACGACAATGATCTTTAGAGGCTATTGAAATAAGAGCTAGCCATGGCTGAGGCCTCGGGAAAGCCCCTTGTCTCTGTAATGTGTTAAATATATATGATGGTTTGACTGCCACTAGTTTGTACATACTGTATTCTTGATTCTTCTGGCATAAGAGCCATAAATGAGTATTCAGGGTAGACTGAAAAGGCCTGAAATCCAGTCCTCAAAAATATGCTTTTCTTGTAGGTTACCACCCTACCATTTCGTGACCCTTTGAAAAAGGCACAATATGACGAAGATGATGAAGAAAGAACTCTTCTTCAGTGCGAGACTGGTACTTAGTTTGTGATTGTTACATGATTTCATAACCCAAGAGCAATGGGAGTTGCATTTAACTGCTAATTTATATTCCTAATCTTGCAGGCAAACTACGTACAATGAAAGGATTTAAAGAGATTGAGAAGGCCAAACTGCATTCCAGATTCCCAGGACTTTCTAATTCATGGTGCTTTGTGACTCCAAATGAGTGGCTTAAACTGTCTACAAGCTACATAGAAAGTGAATTTTGTAAAAGGAGCAGGTAATGGTTAATATTGTAGAAATTATGGAACCCACTGGAATTGGAAAACCTTTTCTGAGACAGGAATATAAATTGTGTCATAGTTATTATTATTATTATTATTATTATTTTTATCCCCACCCAAGGACATTTTTTTTGTTTTTTGTTCAGATAGAGTGGGAGGGAGAGAGAGAGAGAGAAACATTGACGTGAAAGGGACACATCGAGTGGCTGCCACCCGCACAACCCAACCAGGGCCGGGGACAAACTGCGACCGAGGTACATGCCCTTAGTGGGAACTGAACCCGGGTCTCTCTGGACTGCAGGTCAGTGCTCTAACCGCTGAGCCAAACCAGCCAGGGCCATAGTTATTATTTTTTTAATTTCAGTTTTCAATGAGAAATCCTAATTTTGTCTTTGTTTCTCTGTATGTGATGTTTCTTTCTTCTTGGATACTTTTCAAGATTTTCTCTTTGTCTTTGGTTTTCATGAGCTAGACTATGATGTGTCTAGGTGTTTTGTTCCCCTTTCTTTCTGTTTACCCTACTTAGGCTCTCTGAGTGTCTCATATCTGTGGTTTGATGTCTTTCATTAGTTTTTTTGGAACTTCTAGGCCATTATTATTTCAAGTATTTTTTATAACCTATTTTTTCTTTTCTCTTCTGAGATCCATTTATATGTATGATAGACCATTTGATATTGTCCCAAAGCTACATAGCTCTTAGATACTGTGTTGTTTTTCTACTTGTATTTCAGTCAGACAGTTTCTACTGACCTGCCTTTATGTTCACTGCATCTTTCCTCAGCTGTGTCCAACGTACCGAAGAGCCTATCAGAGGAATTTCTACCCCCCCATCTGATGATTTTTCTTTTTCTTTTTAAAAATATTTTTTAATTGATTTTTTTTAGAGAGGAAGGGAGAAGGAGAAAGAGATAGAAACATCAATGTGAGGGAGAACCATCAATCAGCTGCCTCCTGCATACCCCCTACTGGGGATCGAGCCAGCAACCTGGGCATGTGCCCTGACTGGGAATTGAACCAGCAACCTCTTGGTGCATGGGTTGACGCTCAACCACTAAGCCACATCAACCAGGCATGATTTTTATTTCTAGTATTTCTATTTGATTATTTATATAGTTTTAATTTCTCCTGGAATTTTCCATCTGTTCATACATTTTGTTTACCTTTCCATTAGATTAACACATTATTCATAGTTATTTTAAATTCCTTGACAGTTCCAACATTGGGGTCATTTCTGAATCTGGTTCTGTTTATTGCTTTATCTCTTGACAGTGGGTTATTTTATCTTGCCTTTTTTGCATGTCTTATAATTTTTGATTGACTGTCAGATATTTGAAGTAATTTTGTCTTGCTTTTTTGGCACGTCTTGTAATTTTTGATTGAATGCCCTTCTCGGACATATTAACATAGGAAACCTTTTTGTTATTAATTACACTTTATACACTAATATAGATGTTTTCTATACCCGTTTCTTTTCTTTTACTCAAAACATATTTCAAAATTTACATTTTCTGGGAACACTCATTCTGATTAAGTCAGATCAGAACGATTCTTCCCGTGAATTTTTTGTGTGACCATTTTCATGTCAGGTATACTGCGTATGTTAGAAGAATGGCCAGGGCTCTTGGCTATCACTAGAAAAGGATTCATGTTTTGAGAATTTATACTGCTCACAGAGTCATTGGGAGGGGGAGGTGTTAAGAAACAGGGCTGAGTTTCAGGAACAACACTCAAAGTCACAGTGCAGACCTGGCGGACAGAGGGATGTGTTGTTTGTGCTGTGATCAGGGAGCTGCAGAATCAGGGCGGTACTGCTCCAGCTGTTGGCCTCGGAACCACACCTGCTCTGCTATAATCTGTGCCAGCAAAATGGATGCCCTTCAGAGGGCCAGTATCAACCTCCCAACGAAGTCCTGAGTGGGGGCAAGACTGGAGGGATCTAAGGCACCCGTCTGCCACCTATGGCAAGGGAGACTGGGGAATGGACTGTTGGGGTATCTCTTGGAAGCACATTTTGTAATTATGCTTGTAAATGATGCAATCTCTATGGCTTCTTTTTACATCAGTGTACACTCCCCGTGGATAGGGAGTGCTTTAAACTTTGCCAGCTGAGTCCAGGTTCTCAGTAAACAGTAGCCAGTCTTCATCATGGTTTCAGCAACTCTCACATGCCCAGGAATCACACAAACTTGAAGTAATGGTATTTTAGACAATCTGCATAGCAGTCAAAGTGTAACAATCTCTGAAAGAGTATATAACCTAGACTTGTTTTCCAAACATCCTCACATGTTATCTCGTTAAAGGTGAAAAGTGAAAGTGAATTTTAACGCTAGTAGTTTGGATTTGAAACCCTCGGCCAAAGCTCCTCGTCTGCTGGAATCCCAGGAAGAAGGAAAAGCCGTTACTTGCAAGTAAGCCTGTTATTCCACAGCTTCGCTCTTCTTTTATTTAAGATGCGTGGCTGTGTTTCCACCCTTTGCCATCTTTTAAGCTGCTGGAGTCAGTGCCAAGGCGTATGCCAGGCCCTTGTGGCATGACACCAGGCATGTCCCACCACCGTGTCTGGGTGCAGGGCAACTTTCTTCAGCTCGTTATGGTTTTAAAGAACAAACAACTAACACATTAGAAATAACAAGCTCAGACATAGACAAAAGCTGTTAACCACTCATACAAGTTAAAAGTGACTTTAGCTGAATTGGAGCTGTAAACATGTAATTCTGGACTAGTTTTGTGGGCAGTAGTTGTACACCCAGAGTGAAGAGGTGTTACAAACAGAGAAGTGATACATACTACTGTGCATGTGACATGGAGAATCATCTCCAGAAACTGGTTATGGAGTTAAAGAGATTTCTCTACATGGTTACATAATCTGTCAACTACGTGATTAAAGGTTTGGGATCCCCAGACATTGCTGGAGTAAATGTAAAATACACAGTAACTTTGGAAAACAGTTTGACAGTTTCTCAAAAGGTTAAACATTGAATTACCATGCGACCCAGCATTTCATCTTTTAGGATCCTACCCAGGAGAAATGGAAACATTATCCACATGGAGACTTGTGCATGAGTGAGTGTTCGTGACAGCATTAATCACAGTATCCCCGCATTGCAAACCCAGGTGTTGTCATCAGCTGGTCAATGGACAAACCAAATGTGGTCTATTTATACTTGGCATGTTACTTGGCAATTGAAAGGAACAGAAGCACTAATACATGCTACAACATGGTTGAACTTCAAAACTATACTCAGTGAAAGAAGACAATCACAAAAACTACATATTGTATGATTCTGTGTATATGACAGGTTGGCAGAGGTAATCAATAGAGATGGGATAGGTTATTGGTTGCCTAGGGCTGGGGCTGGGAACGGAGAGTGATTGTAAATGAACATGAGGTTTTGGACTGATAGAAAGGTTTTAAAATAGATTGTGGTGGTGATCATACAACTCTGTAAATATACTAAAAATCATTGGTTTGTACACTTAACTGTGTAAATTATACTTCAGTAAAGCTGTTAATTAAAAAAGAGAACCTAGCAAGGCAGAGGAAAAATGACCTTGTGTGCAGTTGTTTAGGGGGCTCGCCTACAATTTTCTATTCCAAAAAGCCCCAAAGGAAGCTGCAGTTGTCTACAATGGAGTCAAGCAACTTGTATAACGAAAAAAAAAAAATTCCCTAAATTGCTAGCTAAGCTATTCCGGATGGCACTGCACTGGGTGGACACCAGAGGGCAGAGCTGTGCTTCTGTTGGATTATAACCACCAGACTAAGTTTCTTCTAAAGCCTTTAAGTTCATGCCTGGGACCTTCCTGGTGATAGGAACCAATCCCATTTCCTTCTTGCCTAGATGTTAGCTCTCTAAATGGAGGCAAAGCATCTCTAGTTTGTTCTTGTGTGAAGCATTTATTGAGTGCTCAGCCCCTTCTGAGTGCCTTCTCTGGGATCAGCAGGAACAGGACTCTTCCTCCCCTCACAGAGCTTGTCCCAGGCTTGCTAACCTTCAGATTCACATAGGAAAACTCAGACTTGGAGAGATGCCAAGCCTTGCAAAAAAGCCAAGCACTTAATTTAGCCAAGCACTTATTTATTCAGGTGTCCATTCAGAAAGTGCGTGGTGGGGACTGACTCACGTGACTGCAGCTTGTGGGAGAATTCATTCATTCTCCCCACTGTACACCAAGTACCCTTTCTGCACAGGCACTGCTCCAGGCACTGGGGAGGCAGTGGGCCCTGCTCTCATGGAGCTCACTTTGATGGCAGTGGGGGAGCAGGCAGACAAAGGGTGCAAGGTGAACGTGGTGATGGGTGCTATGAAGGAAAACAAGTAGGATAAGGGGGTTGAGAAGGATGGATCAGGGGTGCTGTTTTGTATAAAGTCAGGGAAACCTTCTCAATTGATGCTAGTTTTGAGTGGAGACCTTAACAAAGTGAGGGAGCAGGACTAGTGGCCATCTGGGAGAAGGCAGCGGGAACAGGATGTGCAAAGGCCCTGAGGCAGGAGTGTGCGAAGTGGGAATGGGTGTGTGTGGTGGGGTGCAGGTCCTGTAGGGGTGCAAGATTCCACACAATGTGGGCTGTTGTTGATTTTGCCTTTTTCTCAGAGAGAGTTGCTGCATTGAGGATAGTTTGTAGAGCACAAGGTAGCAGCTGGGAAAGTGGTCATCCAGGCGAGATAACGATGGTGGCTTTGTACCTGGGACACTCAGTAAATGCTTTGTGAATTGAACTGTGCTGTTCCAGCCAGAGCTTGCTTGAAACCATTGCCTGCTGACCCCCTACAGAGGATGGAAAAACCAGCACAGGAACAAAACCTCCAGAGGAAAAAACTCCAATTTTGGTGTTTGGGGTTAAAAGAAAGATATATTTCTATGCTCAAACAGGAGCCAGAGTTCTAATGGGGAAAGGGTCTTAGCCAGTTCTCAGATTTGACAGGTGAGCTCTCCGAAGCCTAGAGTGGTGAGGTCATTTATCCCACGGCCACACAGCAGCTTAGTGGCCTCCTGAGGTTCCAAAGTGAGGACTCTTGCCCTGCACTGAATATCTCTTGATGCCTTGTTCCTATTCTCAGGCTCTCCGCTGGGCCGCTGTCTGTTCCCAGAGTAGGAATCGTCTCAGCCCTGGGGTTCTGCCAAGATCCACTGGTTACTCTAGCTCCTTGCCAGCTCGGGCAGGTCATGCCCAGCAACCTTAACCTGGCCTGTTCTCCCAGGACCCTGAGCTGCTCTGGTCCCGTCTCCACTTGGCAGGCTCCTGGGTTCTCTCACCCCAATCCAGAACAGAAATAGATTTTATCTGTCCCTGATGCTTTCAGGCAATGTCGATGAGAGAATTTATAGGATCTGTCAAAATTATAAGTGCCCACACCCTTCGACATAGAATTTGTGCCTCTGAAGTTTGTCCTATAGAAACACGGAGATCCGTGCCCAGGAGTTACTTTCTCAGGTCTGACGTGAGGCCTGCGGCTGGGACTCCACACGCCCCTCGTTCCCTCCCTCTGGCCTCTCCCCCATGCCCTCATGTGCTCCTCTTCTGCCTCCCAAGCTCTGGATGTGGCCGTCTCTCTGGGTCCTGTGCTTCCCCTGTTCCCCCGCTGCTGCCTTGGTGTGAATCCATTCCCTTGGTTTTAGACGTCCTATCTCTGCCGACTCCCTTGGTTAAGTCTCCAGTCCTGACCACTCAGTGGCTTCAGTCTCAATCAGCCAACCTGCTTTTTGTTTTTTGAGATATAATTCATATGCCATAAAATTCTCTATTTTCAGGGTGGATTTCAGTGGTTTTTAGCATATTTACAAGGTTGTGCAACTGTCGCCACCGTATAATCCAGAACATTTTCATCGTCCTGAACAGAGACCCTGGACCCAGGAGCGGCCACTCCCCTCAGTCCTGAAGACTTGCTAACCCATTTTCTGTGGGGATTGTTCTGTCCTGGACATGTCCTGTAAAGCGTCACACAAGGAGAGCCTGTTGTGTCTGGCTTCCCCCAGCATCGTGTTTCCGAGGCTGCTTCATGTTGTGGCAGGTGTCAGTACTCCATGCCCCATGTCCACATAAAATTGTATCATGTACCACAGATATAAGCCATATTTTGTTTATCCATCAGTGGGTGGACATTTGTGTTATTTCCATTTTTTGGCTATTATGAATAATGTTACTATGAATATTTGTGTGCGAGTGTGTGTGTGAATATGTTCTCAACGGGCCTGTATATACACACAGGTGTGGACGTGCGGGTATCGGTCAGTCTGTGCGTCACTGCGAGGAGCTGCTGAGCTGTTCTCTGGCGCAGCTGCACCACTTTACCCCGCGACGTGTGCGGCTTCTCCCCAGTGGCCTCTTCAGGTCCCGAGAGGCCTCGAAAGGCTCTCACACTCAGTGTGTCAACAGCTGAACACGCTCCTTCATCTTGGTCATTGGCGCACAGTTGTTCAAGCCAGACACTTGGGGACCGTTCTCTAAACCACTTACAATCTTGACCCCCTCAGTACATCAGTGAGTGCTCTCAGTTCTGCCTCCCAAATATGTCTCAAACCTGTCAGTCTCTCCATCTCCATTGCAAGCGCTCTAGCCACCACCATTACACACTTGAACGGCCTCGGTAGTCTCCTGTTGGGGTCCCCACCTCCAGGCTTGCTTTCTTTAATCTGCTGTCTTACAGATTTCTTTCTTTAAAAAAATTCTAAAAGAAAATTAAGCCAAAGTTTTATATACACATGGTGAAAATGATCAACTTCTAGCAGAAGGTACAACGACCCACAGGGTTCTCCCTGATCTGACTGCCAGTTACCTCCCTAGCCTCGCCTCCTACCTCTTTACCCAGCTCACTACAATCCAGCCTCACAAGTCTCCTTACTATTCCTAAACCCACCAGGACCGCTCCTACCCCAGGGCCTTTGCACTTGCTGTTCCCACTGCTTGGTATGCTGACCCAGATCTCCACATGGCTCTCTCCTTTGCTTCCTTCACTCATTACTTAAACGTAAGTAAGTGATGCCATCTCTGGCCCATTTAACTGGAATAATAACTCCCTTCCCCACTGCATTCTTCTCTCCAGCTTTTCCCCCTTATAACATTGATGTGAGAGACACACATCGAGTGGTCGCCACCCCCACGACCCCAACCGGGGCCGGGGACAAACTGCAACTGAGATGTGTGCCCTTAGTGGGAACTGAACCTGGGACTCTCTGGACCGCAGGCCGACGCTCTAACCGCTGAGCCAAACTGGCCAGGGCTGTTTTCTTTCTTAAACTAAAGCATGTGCTTCTAGAACAAAGCTTGCTTTGTGTACTGGAGCACTCCTGGCACCCAGCGCCTTGCTCCAGGCCCAGCACGTAATAGCCCCTCATCACTTGTTTGTTGCATAAATGAGCAGTAACAACTGGCCGTTGGTGGCTGGGTGGTTGGACAAATTGTAGAATGTCTCTACAACAGATTCAGCATTTAGGAACAATAAGCTATAAAGTCTGAATACTTGTCTATAATATCATCATTTTGGTTCTTACTACTACTAAATTCCCCAAATTTTGTAGCTTCAAAGTAACCATTTTATTACACTCAAGGCTTCTGTGAGCCAGGAATTTATCACCACATTATTGTTTTTAAAACTTAACTTGAGCCCTGGCCAGTTTGGCTCAGTGGTTAGAGCGTCGGCCCTCAGACCAAAGAGTCACAGGTTTGATTCCAGTCAAGGGCACGTATGTTGGTTGCGATTTGTCCTGGCCCTGGTCAGGGTTGTGCGGGAGGCAACCAGTTGATTTGTCTCTCTCACATCAGTGTTTTTCTCTCCCTCTCCCACTCTATCTGAGATAAATGGTAAAATATCCTTGAGTGAGGATTAAAAACAAAAACAAAAACAGCCTTGCTGGTGTGGCTCAGTGGTTGAGTGTTGACCCATGCACCTGGAGGTCGCCGGTTCGATTCCCGGTCAGGGAACATGTCCAGGTTGTGAGCCCGATCCCCAGTGGGGGGCATGCAGGTGGCAGCCAGTCAGTGTTCTCTCTTATTAATGTTTCTGTCTCTCTCTCCCTCTCCCTCTAAAATCAGTAAAGAAAAATATTTAAAACAAAAAATCTTTCAAGACCTGAAATCACGGAGTGTATTCTCTGAGTACAATTCAGCTAAATTAAAAACGAACAACAAAAACATAACTAAAACATTTCCACATGTTCAGAAGTTAAAAAACAAAACAACAAAAACTTAACTTGGTGTTTTTCTTATAAGATCAAAACGTGGGTAATACAGAAAGTCAAAACATACAAAAGGAATAATAGAAAGGACTCCTTGATCGAACTCATCTAGCAATAAGCACTGTTACTACCTCCAGCGTGCCCTTCCCAGACCAGGCTTAATAAGCAAATGCATATACAAACCCATTCTGCCGGGCTCTGACCTGTGACCACCGATGGTGGCTGTCTCTGTAGTGGTGGAACCAGACCCCAACCTCATTCTTCTGAAGTGCTATGTGACGTAGCTGTTACCTGTTTGTTCACTTGTCCCTTCCTTCATTGAACACATGCCTACTGTGTGCCAGACCCTGTCCTGTGTGCCAGGTGCATAGTGTTGGCGAAACGTCCATGCTCTGCCTCACGGGGCTGACAGTCGCTCCAGCACATGGAAGTACCACGGTTTATATAACCGTATGTTGACGTCATTTCCATTTTTAACTTACAGATACAGAAGTCCTCTGACATATTTTCATACACCTTTAAAAAAAATACTGTTTTGCCCTGGCCAGTTTTGCTCAGCGGTTAGAGCGTGGGCCTGTGGTCCAGAGAGTCCCGGGTTCGGTTCCTGCTAAGGGCGCGTTCCTCAGTTGCAGTTTGTCCCCAGCCCTGGTTGGTCGTATGGATGGCAGCCACTTGATGTGTCTCTTTCACATCCATGTTTCTCTCTCTCTCTCCTTCCCACTCTATCTGAGCAAAAAATGGAAAAATGTCCTCAGGTGAGGATAAAAAAAAAAAAATACTGTTTTTATTGATTTATTTTTAGTGAGAAAGAGATAGAAACATTGATGTGAGAGTGATACATCGATTGGCTGCCTCCTGCACGCCCCTCACTGGGGATCGAGCCCACAACCCGGGCACATGCCCTGACCAGGAATCGAACCGGGACCTCTCAGTCCATGGGATGACACTCAATGCACTGAGCCACACCGGCTGGGCCTCATACACCTTTTCATGCATTCTCAGCGTGGAGATCTAGAAGCGGGATTGCTGTGGTGGGGGGCGGGCACATTGGGACAGGGATGTCCAAATCCAGACTGCCGTCACTGAGCCAGGAATGAGTCAGTGTCAGCATCTCCCCTAGCCCTGGGCAGGAGCACCTTACACATCTCCACAGATCTGAAAGGTGGAGATGATTATCCAGTTGTTGACTCGTTTCCCCCTTGTGTCCTGTATGGGATGTGGCCAGGAATCCGGAGCCATTTTCCAGGGTGGTGGTCTGCCTCTTTCTGTGTCTTGTTGGTGTCACCAGTGCTTTGGTCCCTGGGCACAATGGCCCTCCGGCCATTAGGGAACAGACCGTCTTTCTGACCCCTTTCCTGGCCTCAACAGAGAGCCCCGCCCATGGGAAACACAGCCTCCTGCTTCATTCACTTCACCGCTGTCCCCCACAACTCAGAATCTCACTCCCCTACAGGGCTCCATGTCACCTAGAGTTTTGAAGGGCAGATGTCATTTGGTACCCTCTCTTCAAGGTCATCTGTGAAACTGTTCCAAAGACCAGTCCTCGGGCAGACCCCTGAGAGGTCTGAGATACCCACCATTTACCGCGTCTCGAGGAAGAGGCGTGCCTATGGATGTAAGCCCCCCATCGTGGGGTCACACCGGCGTCCTGTGCATGACTGTACACGCCCTCTCACGGCGTGACACGTTTTCAGTGAGGAGCCTTTGGTGGAGAAGCTACGTGTCCAAGTCTGAGAGTATGACAAGATGGGACACCCAACTGCATGAACACGGTTCCCTCAAAGCCTCGTCCTCACCCTTTAGGACAAGGCCTTGACCTAAAGGATTGTTTTCAGATCTGGAAATTTCATATACCACAGTAGGATGTGAAAGATGGAGGTTTGTATTTGTTTATTCATTAAAAAATTTATTACTATAAAATTTACTTTAAATATGTTTTTATTGATTTTATATAGAGAGGGAGAGAAAATCATTGATTACCTGCCTCCTGCATGTGCCTACTGGGGATCAAGCCAGCAACCCTGGCATGTGTCCTGACTGGGAATTGAATCCGTGACCTTTTTTGTCTTTTTAATCCTCACCCAAGGATATTTTTCCATTTATCTTCAGATATAGTTGGGAGGAGGGGAGAGAAACATTGATGTGAGGGAGACACATCGACTGGTTGCCTCCCGCACAACCCCTACCAGGGTCAGGGACTGAACTGCAACCAAGGTACATGCCCCTGCCTGGAGTTGAACCCATGACTCTCTGGTCTGTGGGCCGATGCTCTAACTGTTGAGCCAGACCGGCCAGGGCTGAACCCGTGACCTCTTGGTGCATGGGATGATGCTCAGTCAACTGAGCCACATTAGTTAGGTTAAAAATGTTATTTTTTTCCTTGCAAAAGGACTGTGTACCTATTTTAGAAAATTTGGAAACTAGGGACGAGTGGGAAGCAGAGCTGAGCATTGTTAGCACACTGTGTCTTCCTCCGGAGTTTCTGATTCTCTCAAAACAGCAGAAGTGGGGTCATACCAAGGATACTGATTTACGGCCTGCTGTTTGTCAAAGACAGTGTGAACCTGTTTCCATGTCATTCCGCATTCTTCATGACCTGGAGGAGCTTATCTTTTTTTTTTCTCCTCACCTGAGGACATTTTTCAATATTTTGTTCAGATAGAGTGGGAGGGAGGGAGGGAGAGAGAGAGAGAGAAACATTGACGTGAAAGGGACACATCGAGTGGTTGCCACCCACATGACCCAGCCAGGGCCAGGGACAAACTGCAACCGAGGTACGGGCCCTTAGCGGGAACCGAACCCGGGTCTCTCCAGACCGCAGGCCAATGCTCTAACCGCTGAGCAAACTGGCCAGGGCTGGAGGAGCTTATCTGAGGGA